CCTGCTGAATTCTTTCAATTAAATCGAATATTTTCATAGCAACGTTGATAATTTTTTAATAAATTATAATTTATTTCTCGATGACCCTTTCGAATTCCTTGATGAAGTGTGACTCGATTTTCATTTCATTTTTGGGTAACTAGGAACAATGCAAAATTCCAATGCTATTACTGATGTAATTAATAATAAAAATTGTCTCTCAAAGTACATTTAAAATAAAACACTTAAAATAACTGGGAATCAAGGGAAAAAAAATTTGGGGTCCAAAGGATTAACTATTTAACGATGACGCATGATTTCTGATATTTTTTCTTTTTTTTTTTAGTAATATAAATGCAGCCCAATTTGAGAAATTAGTTTGCAATATTCTGACACGGTATAGCGTGACGAATTTCGAAATATTTTTGTAGATAAAACGAGACCAGACAGGAGTTCATATACTATAGACACACTATGCCCGAAGGGTTAATTTAATCCAGTATTTTTCACCCTCTTTGATCAACTCAACACTAACTATACTATAGCTTAAATAATCTTTCTCCAATTTTAGATTAAAAATTTTGTATTCAATATTATTGCTCTGGTTGCTTCACTATTTTTCTTTTAACACGTTGACTGTCATTAGTGACCAGTGCTTGTCCCCTCAATGGAGCCATGGTGGTCACTAGTGTTCGGCGATACTAATTTTTTAAATTTATATTTGCTTCATTCTAACCAATTTTCGAAAATTTGAACAATGCAAATAAACAGAGAACTTTGAATAGAAATATTGTTCGATAATTATTGTATTGTTTGATAATTCAATATTATATCCCGAGAATAATAGAAATTTTATTAAGAGGCCTCTGAGCATACTACGTAAAAATTTCATGACAGTCAAAGTGTTAATATGTTATTATTATAAATTTCCTAACATTTTCTCACATTCCATTTCTCATTTTCCAAGTTCTTCTCTGTCCATATTCCCATCTACAGATTTCCTGACTCCTAGTGGTAGAGTTATTATTAAGTCCCCATACTACAAACACCAAAACAATTGCAAAATCTGCAAACTCATCGAACAAAATATCCTCAACCCCCACCAAAGTCGAAAGAACGAGAAAGCGACTAAAAAATTGCACAATGAAGCATAAATTTTCGTGGACAATTTCCAGTCTAGAGCCTAAATTTCCCCTAAACGAGCAAACTTCTCAATTTCGTCGAAAATAATCAGGACACGCCTCGGTCATCCCCTACCACCCCGTTACTACCCCAAGTACGTCGCGGAGGACGGACAAACGCACGAAACATTTCACGCGTGACCCAGTTACCCCTTCGAACGGAACGTAACTTTTCATTTCGATCTCGAACCCGGGGATAAATAACGAAATTGCGCGTGGATTCGGCGCACGCACGCACACCGATATAAGGTCTCGGATAAAAAGCGATCCGCGGAGGGGGATCCCCCAGCGAACAAGGGGGATGCACGCGAGGGGGTGGCAATTCGGTGCAATTAGCGCGACGATAATTATCATCGCGAAAGCCGACGTGTATCAGAGCCGCTGTAATGCAGAGGGTATTTCAAAACACGGATTATCCGTGTTCGACGTCACCGAGAAATTTAATCAATCGGCACGTCGCCACCCCTCTCTCTGCGCGCGCGTCGTGCAGAATTTTAATCACGGGAATCATAAAAATCCGTTTCGCGGCACGTACACACGCACACGCGTGCACGCTTCTCCGTTTTATTTCGCTGCTCGAACGGAGCACAACTTTTGTCGGGGGTGGATTTTCGACCTAGGACGTTTCACTAGCCGATGTTTATGTGGATTTGGTTTTATTAGTGCGAATGCAAGTGTGTGAGGTCGAGTAACGGCACGAATGTAGATATGTATATTTGGAAGCGGAAGATCTAGAATCCGTGGTGTTGTGCAGTTGCTATGGATCAAAGTCAATCTGTTACGAGAAGTTCCAGTTTGGTATATGAAGGGTGAGAGTGAACAATTAGGATATAAGAAGTGTGTAATTTATAATTTTGTAATAAATATACGGTTGCTGTACAATAATCTCACAGTTCATTCTCTAAATCGCGAATTCTTAGCTATTCTATCCATCACACGAGCTAATCCTTAATAAAGACTTGCAAATCCTCCATAGACAGAAGACAATTAACCCTTTCTTCGTTGTGAAAATGCAATTCGAAGCTCTTCTTAGATTTGTAGAAGTTGCTGATACTCTTTATGTTAAAATTAAAATAAGAAAATCGTGAATTTGCATGAGAAACGAACGAACAGAATAATTTTATTTCGATGTTCTTGATATAATTATCATCATTCATTATTTGAGTTATAGCATTGAAACAAACGGTGACTGAGAGTCACCTCTCGAGTATAAAGGGTTAACTCGCATCCTTCTGAACCTTTACCTCTGTAGGGACCATTATTTTCACCCTCGTCATTAGATGGATTCCAACTTCGAGGACTCTCTCGCAAGTCCTATTCATATAACTTCCAGATCTTTCAATAGTATCCTGGTCTAAGACAGGCCCTGCTAGTGTAGTCTTATTGATGAATCCACTAACAGGCCCGGGACGAAACGCATCCCTTCCTTTTCGTGGAGGAGGACCCCCTACATCTCCATCGAAAGACCCGAACCTCGTATACTATTTCTTACATTCACCCCCGAAGACAGAGGACCCCAATCGAGGGGACAACGGTTTACCTCTTTACGACCAGCGTCCCATGACACCCGGACCCCCTAAAACACCACTCGAACCCTATAAGAGAGATTAAAATTCCCAAATGATCGAAAAACAAATTGACAATTTGTTTAAACTTCCACTTCCATCAAGAACCATCGACCCCCATATACACCCCCCTCCAACTAACATACTGTCAATAGGAACAAATGCACCTGTCGCGTCGCGATCGAACTCTCGTAATTCCGACGGGTTGTAAGGCTGTCTCGCGACTACGACACGTGTTGCCCGCCGAATTAATCTCGGGCAACTGTTTAAGTTATACGAACGGAAAGGAGTCGTGTCTTCGACGTTTCGAAGAAAACGTGTCGTCTCGTTGGTTTTGAGAGATGAACTCTTGCGGCGAACTGTTTCAAGAGAACTGGTGTCTCTGAGGTCTCGAAAGGAACTGTTTGGAAAGAACCGATGTCTTTGAAGTGTCGAAAGTAAGTGTTGAAGAGAACCGATGTCTCTGAAGTGTCGAAAGGAAGTGAGCTCCTCGATCTTCCTAAGATTGGCCTTATTAAAAATCGGGAGCTCGCCAAATGTAATTGGCTGTTTTGACCAAGGCGTTCCCTTGGTTCGCGAATCGGTGACCTTGGAGGAAGGGAAAGTTCCCCCAAAAAGTAACGATTGTGGAGGAAACCCTCTCCCCCAAGGTGGGGTACGCGTGGTCCACCCGCGCGCTGGTGACCATCGGTCGTTTATGACCCCTAGCGAGGGCCTGAGGCTTCCAACGCGTGCGGACCACGCGGAGCCCTCAGGCCTATTGTCAGCCAAGTTTTAAGAGCCGTCGCCTAATTTCGTTAAATTAGGTATTTCCAGGATCCTCGTGTTCCGCGACACGAGAAGTCAAAGAAAAAAGGTAGAAGCATTCAAACACGCTGGAGGCATGGAGCGGAAAATTCCGATGCCAAATTGTTTGACCCTAAGACCTGGCTGTTGGAAGACCGTAACGGGTGTTCCTTGTTCCACGACGGAACAGCACCCACCATTTACACGCCTTGACAACCAATGACAGCAGCAATCGGAGATGATAAACTGTACTTTTATATATGTTCGCGTGTTTAAAGATGCTAGGGAACCTCGACGAAGGTATTACTCTTAGGGGGAAGAAAGGTTCAGACGAAACAGGTGAGATAACGAAAGGAGCAGTACTTACATAGCACCGACGTAGAGTACGTCCCTCTTGCTGTCCAGGTACAGCGTCCTGTAGTACAGCATCCCGCAGCTGAATTCCCTCACGTGTTCTGCAAGCAAAAGTAAACAGAGAGATTAAACAGCGAAGGGTGGACCCCGAGGAAATTCATTTCCCGATGCTCCGCGTCGCCTGACGGATCGTTAGATTTTCATTATGACTTTTATAATAACGCCGTTCTCGCAGTTTGCTCTTCTCGTCTGATTCAAGCTCGCAGAGCGAACCCACCGGGTATATCGTCGTCATAAAACTCGTTAGAATTACACGACACGTAACAACGCCGGGCTGACGTTCCGCGTTTCATCGCGGCGCCTTTATTGCGAAACCGGCACGATATGAACGTCGAACCAACAAATGAACCTCAATTGGCACCGCGCGGCAAACTCGCCAGCGAAAATGGCGAAATGTCAATTAGCTTCATTAAAATTGAACGACAGCGCGAGAGCTGGGGCAACGCACCTGCTGAAAGCGCGGAAACTCTTCTGTTTACGCGACCACGGACGAAAGTGGACAATTTATAATTTTCCTCGCAGGATCAAGGTCTCTATTAACCATCTATTCCATAAAACTCAGTGTTCCCGAATTTCCTCATGCAGAGAAAGTCAAGAAAATATATCATCATAAAGGCAACTATTCGATAGTTTTTGAGATATTTATGATTAAAGTTTAATTATTGCCTTAATTACAGATTCATTTAAAATAATCAAGTGCCGTTGAGTACTTTTTTATAATATATGAGCCGTTCACTGCACAAATCGATTAACCCCACTTTTTGGAAAATCTTAAATTTAAGTGTCATAGCACTTGGTATAGTCATAACTTTTTATATTTATAATAACTTTTCCTGGTAATTAAGATTAACACTATTAAACGAGAAAAATTTGTTGGCCACTGAATAATAAATAATTTATTTCAGAAGCCACTTCGATTAACTCCGTACTCTAATGTAAATCGTTGCAATAATGCAACTCAAATGCACTAGCAAGCCATGAACGATAACGGTGAATTTTTCAGCGCCGTCTTATCAGAATTTAAGTAAAATTTAGTGAAATTTAAATTTATTACTTTTTTCACTTGCCAAATCGATTAACTCTTCCAGTAACGTAAAAATGGTAACATTACCAACGATTACCTTTTGGCTATTTTTTCTTATAAATTTTATATACCGTTAGATGAAAGTTACATTCGTATTTATGCATTCTGCGATACTTATTTCGATTTAAATTATAAAGGGAATTTTAAAAAACGATATACATTGTTTCATTATATTTCTCCACTTTTTGTTTTATGGAGTTAATCAATTTGTGCAGTGAATGGCTCGTTTCTTAATTAAAATTACTATTTTCATCGAATACGCGTGCACTGTGCTTTTTAACCTATTAATATTATTAAACCTTGGGACTTTAAGATGTAGGTCTCTAGGGTTCTCAGTTCTAGGCTGGAGTTCTAGGGTACTGGAGTCTTGGGGTTCTGAGAGTTTTCAGATCTGGGGTCAGATATCAGAAGACTGGATTTAAAGGTTCCTAAGGTTAGTGGTTTCAACCCTGATTACAGGGTTTGGGCTTTAGAGTTTGGGCTCGTGGGTAGTTCAAGACTGATCCTGTGATCTTGAAATATTCCTTCGCGATCTATCAACCCCGGATTAAAAAGTTTGCTATTTCACGAAATGCTCTCTGGTCAGCTCTCTTCAAGCCTCGAGATAACGTGATCCAGAAATTATAGAGTAGGTCTCGTGATAAGGGAGAACTCGCGGTGCTATAGTTCAGTAGTGATAAGTCAGAACAAATTCCGCTGTACTCTATAAACTTCGAAGCTGCACACCTGAGGAATGGGGTTCAGGCACGTTGCATGAAAATTTCATCCCCGCGAACAGCCATTTTCCGCCATTTTCCTTCACGCGAAGCTTCTCGGAATTTAAGAATACATTGTTCGCGTGGAAAAATACGCTGGAAAATCGGTTAAGAGCGGAACATCGCTCTATATGCTGCTCGAACGAGGAGAACCAGACGTCACGGGACATGTCAGTGCTTAAAAGGTGCACCGCGCGTTTCGAGTGGCTTAGATCTGATTTGTAACAACAGCTGGAAGTGGTTCCTTCCTTATTTTCTTGCTATTTCGAAGAGCAACGTTACGAGACACTTGGTCCCGGTATTCCCCGGATCGTAAAATCGGGACAGCATTAATTCACGAGGTGTGCACGCGCTTAGATGCACCGCATGATAAAAATTGCACAGTGCATCCTCGACAGAGAAGAACACTTCGACTGCAGGTATAGCTTTCAGAACCTGCATGACTAAAATATACCACTCGTTAAATTCTCACACGATTCGGGCAAATTAAGAAGCAATTTATTCATTAACATATGTAAGACTGAGGAAGTAAAAAGGAAAAAGCAAAGGTGGCAGTGAGCCAAGTCCTCAGATGTGCACACACTCATATAGGGGATAGCAACAAAATATCATTATTACAGATACTATTATTTACTATAACTTTAAGGGTGGATCGTGGTGTAACCGATTTTTGGAAAAATTTTTTAGAAGAATGTATTTAATTGATCATTCTGAAAAGTATGGCGTTTTAACTCTGCGCTTGATGATTTTTTGACGAAAAAAGGGCACGAGTTGAAAAATTTTCTGCTATAAGGCTGATGATATTTTTTGAGCAGTAAATGAGAAATCGTATAATAATTAACCGTAGAATTATTTAATTTCGATATCTCGAAACTTTTGACAATTGTTACGTTATTTTAAATTTGGTATATTAATTAATACCGAGCTTCGAAATTTTATCAAATGGCGACTGAAGGGTGCCTCCCAGTGCAGGGGGTTAAGTTTCGTTATTTTGTAGATTAAATTGCGACTAAAGATGTATGGAAATGGCGATAGAATTGCGGTGTATTTTCGAAATGATATTTTTAAATTACTTTTCGAGCAAACAAATATTCCATTCGCAGTGCAATCATTAGCATCGTGGTGAATTGATAAAATGCTCATTGGGAATCGCTATCTTCCTCGCAAAGAGTTAATACCATATATAAATATAATTAAATTTCTTTACCAGACACCTAGTTATCGTTCTTTATTTTTCGATTCAGTGATTCAAAGTATATTACGATATACTGCAGTATACCTCGATTATCCGAATTAGTTAGGGAACACAATAATTCGGATAATTTGGAAAATAATATTTGGACAATAAAATAAATTATTTTCTTTCTGTTTTAATTTTTATACGCGTTAAGAAATGTTCGGATAACTACAAAAGTAAAAGCAAATTTTTTACATTGCAATTTGGACTCATTATAGCGCCTCGATAACGAGATTTGAATATTCGAGATCATCGGGAATACAAACAATCTTCTAAGTCCTTATCAACGTAATTAGTTAACGAACTATTAAAAATACGAAAAAGTTGGAAATTATTAAAATAAGGTCATTTAAAAAAAAAAGAATCAATGTTTCTCAAAAATTGTACGTCTATTTAAATATAAAAAAGTTATTTAAATTATTTATTTCGTTTAATTTATAGACTCACCGACTGGTACATGTATGTTAAATTTCAAATGAATTGGTAACCTAATTTTAGAAACAACTTTCCCGTCAATTTGAAAAAAGTACTTGCACGCAATGAACATGCCTTGGGCTTAATATTTGGACGATTCCACTACAAATTTGGAAATATATTCGAGGAATATTATATCATTGATTAAAGTAATAAACGAAATTGGACTTCTTCTCAGCCCCCATCAGGATGCTCCCTAAATCTGACTAATCTCGAGTCTCTGTACCGGTGGCTGAACGAATTTATCCCTCTGGAATGACGGAAAAGAGAGAATTCCTGCCTGTCTGAGGGAGGTCGAAGAGGCGTAGCATACGCAACGAATATAAATTGTGGAAATCGCAGCTACGATTCCGCCGCGCGGAAAGCTTCGAATTATACGATCCTAAAAAATTGGATTCATCACTTTGCTCTCGCCTTTTTATAAAGAAAAATATCCGTGAGATGCGCGGCTATTTTTCACAACATTAAGTCAAGCCGGCAATCATTTAGGAGCGCGCAGTGCAGAGTTCCACGGGGTAGAAGTCGAAGGGGTGGTTCGCGCCATCCACGCTGCGCTGGCGTCCCGCTTCTCCTACCCTTTTCACCCTCTATCTCGTCGGCCGACACTGATCTGCTTAACATATGAAAGAAAGCCGCCCTTTCCTAAATATACTCGTTCTCCACTCTAGACTAACAGAGCGCGAACAATACTATATTTTATGCGGTATCAGGAGGGGCTGACGGCGAGTGAAAGGGGTCCACAACCCGGAGTCGCTGCACAGCCGCTCCTTTTTCACCCTCTCTTTCTTTCGCGTGTTTACAACCGTACCCAGCCGACTCTATGCCGTTCTTTGCCCACGAGCCCATCAATGAATGCAAAAACCTCGTCTCTCCTTCTTTATCTGGAGAAGCGGCGAGCTGCTAGCTTAGTATGCGACTAACTCGGATTGATGTTCATTGGCGAGTTCGGTAACAATGCTACTTTTGAGGGAGATCGTTCTGCATAGTCGCTTTGTGGTTCCTCCATGCTTCTAATGGCGAATTTTCGTTCTGTCTTTCAAAATTAGGTGGTGGGAATTCGATTTTGGTAAATGGTACTTGTTTCTGACAGGGATGATTTGGGGTTACCAGATATGTAATTATAATCTGATACCTGTACTGAAATATTTTGTAGAAATTGTGGTAAAGAATACTATGCGATGCAATATCCTGTCATCATAACTATTTATGGCTCATCGGTGACTCTAATGGCGAATTTTCGTTCTGTCTTTCAAAATTAGGTGGTGGGAATTCGATTTTGGTAAATGGTTTGGTTCTGACAGGGATGATTTGGTGTTACCAGATATGTAGTTATAATCTGATATTTGTGCTGAAATATTTTGTGGAAATTATGGTAAAGAATACTATGCGATGCAATATTCTGCCAGCAACTATTTACGGTTTGTCGATGATTCTAAGAACGAATTTTCATTCTGTGTTTTAAAATTAGGTGGTTTTAGTAAATAGTACTTG